ATGAATATGATGTGAAAGTTGTCCTGACAATGAAGACGTAAGGCTGATATTATACTGATCCACACTGAAGATCTTCATGTTAAATTTTGTTTTATTCTAAGGTTTAAACCAGGGGTGTTAAACATAAGGCCCAGGGGCCAGAATCAGCCTGGCAAAGACAACAAATCCCACCCACTGGTCATCTTTGGAGCGCGTGAACCATAAATGTTGGACTTTTAAAAGTATTTTCATACGTTTACTGACAAGATACGGAGGGAACTCAGCTGAACAGAATCTAACTAATGAGACAGGGAAAACAAAACTGAACATGAGACGGGGGACGATCAAAGTAAAAAGGGAAGCAACAAACACTGAGACCAGGACCAAGACTTGTAAACTGTACAGAACTAAACAGGGAACATGGAGACAGGACACAGAGAGACGGGGTCATGACTGACTTCCACTCTGGGGATGAGAACCAGAACCATGCTGAACTCAAGACTAAATAATAGAGAGCTTGAACATAAAATTCCACATGAGACATAGAATGAGTCCAGAACAAAACACTGGGTCGAAGACCCAGGATCATGCCGTAGAAAGATGGAGACCTTATATTTATCAGTTTTATTCTGGGCCGTCTTCAGCTCTGAACAGATTATGAAACACTGAATGATTTCAGGCAAAAACACTGTCTAATAAACCTGCATCTTTTATTCTTCATTCAGATTGGATGACTGCAGTTTGTCAGATATCAGTTCTCTCGCCATCGCTCTGAAGTCCAACCCCTCCCATCTTAAAGATCTGGGTCTGAGCTGGAACAGTCTACAGGATTCAGGAGTGAGAAAGCTGTGTGGTTTCCTAGAGAGGCCAGACTGTAAGCTGGAGTCTTTGAGGTCAGTCACCATGTTGTTCTTGTAGTGATATGAATATGATGTAAAAGCTGTGCTGACAGTAAACAGAAAGCTTTTAATAAAATGATGCGCACTGAGGATTAGGCCAATGAGTGTAGCAGAGCAACGTTCTCATTTCTGGATAATTCACAGTAAATGCACTCGTCCATCCTGATACGCTTGTTTTCTTCGGAAACATGTTTGTGTTCCCTCCCTCATGGACATGTTTCAGTGATTTACTAATCCAAGGCTGGTTATTGTGGAAAATAGTTCCTGTTTTCAATGTAATCCCCATTTTTCCCAGAAAGAAGTAGAAATACACGACACACCTTGTGATTTAACAGTTGATGGTTTTTGTGACTGCACTTGGGGACACATTCAAATTTTTAGTGATTTTCCTTAGAGAAATGATGGACTGTTGTTTCTTTTTACTTAGCTGATTGGTTCTAATATGAATTCTAACAGTTGTCAAATAGGGCTAACAGCTATGTACCAACCTGACTTCTGCACAACACAATTGATGGTCCCAAGCAATAAATGAGAAGGTGTGTCCAAACCTTTGACTGAAG